GTTCTTTTGATAACGATAGCAGAAAATAGCTATCGAAACGTGAAGGTAATTTTTCAAATTAATTTCTCTACTAATTGGAATTTTCTCTTACAGCTTGAGCTTGAGTGTGTCGCAGGATTCCCTCTAGGTGATAGTTCTTGATTACGTTTTGATAAATAATTCGTTCTTATTGCGAAACAGGAGAACTATTTATCAATCTGTAATAAAAGACGTGAGGAAATTCTGTCTTTTATAAAGACAAAAATTTTTGAGGCGAAATACCCAAAAAGAAGATTGTAAAAAATGAATCCTCCTCAACAATATAGAACTTATCTACAATCTAATTCTTGTTGAACTGGTTACTCAATTACTTTTTCGAAATTGATTTCAGATGTATTCTCTCGATCGACCACCTGAAGAACTGCCATTACACATTGTCTACCGTTTGGGAGTATAAATATATGTTTTTATAGTAGTTGATGTTTACTTGTTCTAAGTATAAACGAACGCCCCTACAACAGCAATATTAAATTCGTTGAATCAGTGAAATTTTGAACATTAATGCTAACCTGAAGTGGTCTACACATGTTGACTCCCTAACAAAGAAACTATCTTCAGCTTGTTTCGCAATTCGATCAGTTTCTAGGGAGCTGAATGTGTTCTCCGGTAGACTCGCTTACTTCTCTCTAGTTGAGTCTCACATTTTTGGGGCTGCTGTAACACCCAGCAATTTCAAAGTATATTTAAACTTCAGAAAAGAGCAATTCGCTACTTGTTGGGCCTGAAGAGTGGAGCTCATTGCAAGCACTACTTTGAAAACCATAGAATTCTTACCCTGCCCGCTTTGTTCATCTTGGAGAGTGTCTGCTTGATACGCAAACATCGAGTCACCTTTGCGGAAGGGCCACAACATAAGTATTCTACCCGAAACTCCAGTCAAGATATTTGCCTGCCCTTTCCCTCCTCGGAACTAATTAAAAACTCAATTATTTATTTCCAAATTTCGGGAAGGGGCAAAATCATACTTCCTAAAAAGACCTTTCTATTCTGTGACTGATTTTTACTTGGTGTGGTGTCCTTTTTCTGAGTTTGGCTACTCTTCAACTTCATTGAATTAAACTTTTCCGTTTTGGGCATCACATGCGGTAGTTAAAATTTTTTACTTTGGGGTCATCAGTTAGCAAACTTCTTGTTTGTTTTTATTGTTTATCAACGGGAGCACGGGATGCAAGTGGAGCGTAATCGTATTGGGTTCAAGTTCAGCGAGCAAAATTTCAATATCTTGGACACTAACGTCAATTGTTATAACTATCAATTAGGTATGAGCACGATCCCCTTGCAATAACATGAACAGGGTCAACAGTTGATCCTTGTTATGGTTTGGGGTGCTACTTGATTCAATTCACACATGTTTGCCACTTTTAAATTGTGTGCTTTGTAACGATGGGTGGTTGACTTACTCTGATGACCTCTGCGTTTGTATCTTCTGTCCATGACGATTGTCCGTGAAATATTTTGTACTGTTTTATTATATTTTTTTATTTTTTACCATTGTTGACTGTACTGTACGTAGTTTATGTTGTAGTATTTTGTTTTGTTTTGTGAAATGATAACTTTTTATGGGAGGGTGAACGGCCTCTTCGCGCCTGAGGCTTGGGACGCACATATGCACTTTGAATTCGACATTTTTCTCTTAGTGCGGGTGCATCTGTAGATCTGATAAGCTTTTCAAATACACATTGCGTTATTAAACTGACAGTGATTTTGATTTACCAATTATTGAGTGTGACATTATTGTGTTCAGCGCAGTTTATTTTATAACGCTGATAACAATGAATCAACAAATTATCAAGGGAGAAGCTGCAGATACTGCAAATACTAGGTTAAGGGTGCTCATGTACTAAATGCCTGTTCGAGTTTCGCCTTCTTTTAAATTACCAATTAAAGTACACACACAATTATACACACTAAAGCAGTTTAAGTGCAAAAAAACGCGGATCGTCCATCAATTTGCAGAAAAATGTATTACAAACTTTTAAAAATCATCTTCAAACGACCGGGTATTTATCATTGCAAATGAGATTGCCCATTACCGTGCACTGTTAAATATTGTTTTAAGAACTTACAATCGATCTTGTGCAACAAAATTGTGCCTAAGATCCACTACAATAAAGTTTTTGAAAAACTGTTGGACCTATTTTAAATCGCCTGATTGATTGTGGGCGCAAATTCGTATCAAGAAAAGATTAAATTAAATTAAATCGTTTCGATAGAATCCCGGTGTCTTACTCTCAGTCTGTAGTCCAGATGCTGTCCAGATGATGTCCATTTGCATTGTACTGCATGATTCGGTAAAATATTATTACCTACTTGTTTAGTGATTTTCATCGGAGACAATTGTTAAACCAGATGTTGAGCGGATATTTTCTAAAGAAGGCAGGGTCAATTTATGAAAAATTCTCAAGATTAAGTGCAAATAAAGTGTCACAACTATTATTATTAACTTTTAATGCAATAATATGTTCCCGTATTTGTTATTTTATTTTGTAACAACAAATTATCAATATTTAGATAGCTATTTTGTAATCTTTCATATCTCACATAAAATGATAAACATCATGAATTGAAAAAATATTTGAGTTTACCTCGGTTATTTCAAAAAACATGGGTTCCGTCTTCTTATTTTCTTTCACGCAGCGCATTCTTGATGTTAAGACGATACGGATCTCCCTTCAGCTTATAGTTGCAAAATATGTAAAACGAATTTATTAGGGCTTATTTTCAATTCAGTCTATTATTTCTATGATTAATTGTGTTTACCACGCATCAAAATGGATTTTTTCCCTTCATATACCCTTTGATTCCTTAATGATTACATTTTCTCAATTTAGTTCCATTTTTTTAGCCTTGGATTAGTTCAGTTAGAATTTTTTTTTGAACATACGCGCGATGGCTTACATTATGTATACATATAGTGTGTCAAGTGTATC